ACAACAACTGGCTGCAGATTCTCGAAAATGTCAAGCGCCGACGCCTCTGGCCCGCGTGTCCCCTCTCACCTGAAGTGTCACTGCAGACTGACCTACTACCTCATCGACGCAGAGCTCGCTCCAGGTTTCTTTTTGTTTTTTGTTGTTTTTTTGTTGAAGTTTTTATTTTTTTTATTATTTTTTAACTGATCTAGGTCACGGGGTTAACGCGTTCGCTCCACCAGTGCACCGGGCGGCGTCAACTAGTTAGTCCGGCGCGCACCGCCGCCCCGCAGCCCGCAGCCGCCGACGGAAGCGCCACCCGACGACGACGCCACCGCCACTCTCCGCCGTCGTCGTCGTCGTCGCCGAAACGAAAGCCCGATGAAGCAGGCCAAAGGCGCGAGGGCGAACAGGGAAAAGAAGGGGGAGGGAGAAGAAGAAGAAGAAGAAATCGCAGCTGATTGATTACTTCCGATTGGACCGGCGGTGGCGGCGCGTGGCGCGCGCGGCGCCTGCCTGCCCGGCGACACGCATACGGCGCCAAGCCCTCACGCGCACTCCCGCGCACGCACGGCTCTCTCTCTCTCTCTCCCCCTCTGTCCCTCTCTCTCTGCCTTTTTCTTTTTTCGTATAGAACGCGGCACCAGTCGATAATAATGAACGAAAACAAATTGGAAGCTCTTCCGATCCATCGCTGGCCGGGAGCCATACCGCGCTGCCCCGCGTTACAGGCTGAGTGAGCGAGATAGCTATAATGAGGGGGACCGAGCTGGGCGCCAAAGGGGCCGACGCAGCTGCGGGGGAGGAGGGGGGGGACTTAGTCACGGGTGCAATGCATCCTCTTTACTTTCTCCAGGGGCGCTCGAAGGCAAACACGAAGAGCTTCGCCGACCCGATAAGGAGAGAGGGGGGGGGGGGCCTCTAACACAGTAAGGCACAAGCAGCGTGTGTAGTATGCGACACATGATGCGCGATTGTGTGTGTGTGTGAGTGAGTGAGGCAGACACAGAGAGAGAGAGAGAGAGAGAGAGAGAGAGAGAGAGTCTGTGTATTATGCGAGCTGCCTGCATGTGTGAGTGTGTGTATATGGCGCGGGAGGGAGTGGGGGGGGGGGGTCGTTGTGCATTGTGAGCAGCGTACCTCATCTTGCATGGAAACAGGGCGCACCTGTCCTAAGGGTTTGGCTCCGCCTCGAGCGGAACCGGAGCTCAGCAGCTACCAGGCATCACGGGGATGATTCCCCTGGCCTCTCCAATCACTCTGTCTGTGGAGGTGGTGCACCCGCTGGCGGTGTGAGGGTGGCGGCGGCGGCATCCGCTCCGTCAGGGGCAATCCCAATCGTCATAGAGACCAGCTTCAGCCGGTGGTCCCGACCTCCAGGCGAGCGCTCCAGTTCCAGTTAGCGCTCGCTCAGGGCAGTCCTGGGCCCGCCTCAGGGCCGCAGGCGGCCTGGCTACCGGAGGAGCCACGGCGCATTCAGGAGACGCGTGCCTGCTGCAGGCGAGCCGACGACGGCGTCGGGCTATTGTGTGACACCTGAAAGGAGGGCGCGGCCGTGGAATTCCAGGAGGCCACTCCTGCACCTTGGTGGAGCCCCATGCGACGATTCCAGTGGAATCTTTCAGTCAGATCCATGCGTCGTGTGTTAGAAAAATTTGGGGCAATCCAAGCGACCCAAGCCTCAGTATATTTAGCTCAGGAAATAACGCACTAACGTAGCTCACAAATAGCCGCAAGGCAAATTTGTGTTTCTGTAACACATACACATGCTGATTTTGACTGTTGTGTCGACCATCTTTTAGCAGGCCGATATGTGGACGGTACCAGTTGTCACAGCTAATCAATTACTTTTCTGTTTTTGGTTTGGTTGTTTGAAAAGAAAAATAAGTTCTTTGCGTATACACTTTCCTTTCCATAGTTCCCCAGATCCATTGCTCGTGGCGGGGTTGGACGAAGTTCGGTGGCCCCGATGCCATGGCGACGCTCCCCGAGGCTCTGGACTCAGACAGTCGATCAAAGTGCGCTGTTGTTGCTGCAAACTGCTGTGCTCTCCCACTTGCTCTCACCCGCTCGGTCTTGCCTCCCGGGCTACCTCTCTCTCTCTCTCTCTCTCTCTCTCTTCCTCCTTACTCTCTGTCCGAACGCGCTGTGTGAGTGTGTGTGGTAAGGGGGGGGGGGGCGCTTTCCCTGATTGATGGCCAGGACCACGCAGCACAGACGACGATTGAGTGATTGATCGGACAATCATCCGGGCAGACTACGAGAGACGTTGGTGGCGGGGACGGGGAGGG